CCTAAAGCTCCTATTGTTCCATCAGATACTTAGTGCAAACTTTATTATCAATTCCTTACCATAATGTCCATCTGCTTAGATTGTAGAGACGGATTTAATGTATCATCAAAGAGTACAGTGTAGCAATCAACATTCTTCAGCTCATTTATAAGAATCCCTTTGAAGTATAGTGCCAATCCAAAGGAGTCCAAATAGGCTCACTTTGTTGCACTACAAAAAAATTGTCTCGCTATACAGCTATTAGCAAACATTTTGGAGAACAATTTACTAATCCCTTCACAGGAGTTACATGAATAATTACTAGTGATGCACTTAAAGACTCCAGAGAATTTCAGCATCAAGCACATTCCTTTTGACCAGATAAGAAGACAATGTTACCTCGGCCACTAAAGTTTCTGTTTCACATGGGGCACACGATGTTGAAGGAGTATTTTCACCAGATGAATTAGATGTTGATGTCTTTGGAAAAAGAGAACTCAGGGCATGAGACTGCTTTTTTGTTTTACCTTTCTTTCATGAGTGATTTCAGAGCAGATTCTTCCATTTTTGCGATATCGATCTCCTTCATGCATAATCGGCACTTGGCTCTGAACTTCTTTTCGGGCATCGATAAAATCCATATCCATCCATTGGGGATTAAAATAGCACTTCCCAGGCATAACTAGTCTAAACTACATAACACAAATACGAAGCCGTGCCTTTGCGAATACGCTTTACAATAAAGTTTTGAAATGACGCAAACGTAAGGACAAGTGCGGATGGTAAAACGGCAAATTTATTGAAAACTGCAAGGTACATACTGTTGCAAAATTCGAGAGTATTCCAGTTTCGATAAGAAAAAGAAGATCTAAGCATATGTGACAGAAGATGAAGTGGAGTCTCGCCCCGAACGCATTGATTGTCTGCTGTGCTCCGTGTGCTTGGCAGACACCAAGACGCTAGGCCCCGTTAGAACTGGTGGCGTTAAAAACCACGTGAGAAAGCTCGGGAACAAAACAGAAAGAACGAGAAAGATTCGCGGGTGTTTTATAAAAAGGGCCGCCGGCAGTATTGAACAAATTCAAGAACCTATCAAGTTTTTCAAGGACCTAGGACGTTTTTCAAGCGCTTTCAAGGACCTAAATTTAGCAAAAAATAATTCAAGGACTCTCAAGGACCGTGGGAACCCTGTTGTTTAAATTTTAGGTTATTTTGATTTTTAAATTTAATTTAATTGTATTTAAACATGCCTTCAAAATAAAATACAGTTACACCAAAAAATAAATATGAAGCGATTTAAAATTTTAACTTACTAGAACGTTAAATCAATGAGAACCCTGATGAGCTTGTTTCTTTGCAATGAGACGGTTCCATTTGGGGGTAATGGGAGACGATGATACATCACAAACATTAAAAAATTTGTCACTTCCCTCGGGGGCCCCCTTTTTTTAAATAAATAAAATTTTAATCGAACACAGATATTTTTAATTTGGGGTATAAACCTAGGAATTTAAATTTAGTTTCGATGAAATGGGCGGCCCGGTACCATTTGATCCACGGACCGGGGGTTGGGGAACACTGCTTTAGAGTATAGGTGTAGCATGAGGGGGGCACACTTTCAAGAAACTGTTCGTTTATTTTAAGTTTTATACATACATTTATATATAAATATACATACATAGAAGAAATAAATATGTGAAATAAAAAGCCCTCACACTACACCTAATGCTTTAGTGTTTACAAAAAGAACTGGATTCTTCTGTTAACTTCAAACATGGTGTTGTAATTCTTTGTAAAATCTAGTTCTAAATTCTTCAAAAACCGTTTTCTGTTCCTTGATTCCCTTCTTAGTAGAATAAGTAAGACTTATAGTTTCTGAAAATGTATTTATGAAGTTAGCGGTCATATAAAATGTTTTTTTTTAACTAAATAATCAGTTAAACCAAATATTATATATAAGAGATTGCTAAGTTTTTGTCCCTCTTCAGTATTTATATTTATAATAAAATTGTCACCAAGACAATATTTAAGAATAAATTAATCATGAAAACATTTTAAATATTATGTAAAAACATAAAAAATGCAAGATGGTGAAAAGAATCAAACAATGGAAAACAATCAACTTCAAGAAGTCCAAACATTTTACTCCTTTTTATCAATGCTTAGGTTAGCCTGATTTTACTCCTTGTACTCCTTTTTATCAATGCTTAGTTTAGCCTGATTTTACTCCTTGTACTCCTTTTTATTAATGCTTAGGTTAGCCTGATTTTTTGACTAATACAACTTGTGGAAAGTGAGTAGTTATCGACCATGTCAACCTTCATCTATGAAAAGGTACCCCAATGTAGAATCGAGTTAACATGTTTTATATACTAGTGAATTGGGATTGTAGTTTTGTAGTGGTAGACACACTACAGTACTTCCCCTCCAGAATTATTGTTGTGATAGAATTCGATGAATGGATACCACTAGTTGGTTCATTGCTGTCTTGAGAGAAGCCGGGAAAGTTGCATTAAGATCACCGTATTTGTGAGTGCTGATCGTGAGGGTTGTATAAAGTGCACGGTCAACGTAGATTCTGTGTTGCCATTAGCAGTCGAGTATATACAAGCCGGAGGCGGGCGTTGTGTGTGATTGAGATTGTGAAGCAACAGTGTAAGGAGGACAATGTCACAGTCACAAGTAGCAAGCCAACTGTTCAATGCGGACCATCAGTCGAAGTTAGCCTGCTCAATTCGTAGTGGCGTTTCTGCCTAGATAGGAGTGTTCACATCTTGACCAAAGATCACCAATGTGGGGGGAGTTGTTATCGACCATGTCAACCTTCATCTATGAAAAGGTACCCTACCATAGAATCGACTTAACATGTCTTATATACTAGTGAATTGGAATTTTGTAGTGGTAGACACATTACAAACTCCTTATTTGTGATTATGGTGTTGAAGTTGACTTAATTGAAAGGTCTGCGGACATGAAAAACCGAGGACACCTATTTCTCCAATCGGAAATAATTCAATTTCACAAATACTCAGAATGTTGTTTTACAAATATTTTTTTATTCAGAACTACAGATAGCACTTTAAAATTATTAACAGTAACAAAATTTATAGCTGTTGCACCAAAGTGTTACAAAACAGCAAAATTGCTTTTCGATATTACTTCTAAAACCATTTTTTTTTTTTTATTTAAGCTGGTCTTGAGTTGTTTAAACTTGATTTTTTCTAAATTTGGCTTTTTTTTTTGTCAAAAGAAGAATTCCGAATATTTCAACTAATTGCACAACCAGCAGTTAATAACATTTTTTAAGCTAACTACGAAAAAAAAAAGAATGAAAACAGTTATTTCAAGACACCAAAAACATAAGAGATTTATTCACATCATTAAATTTTATTCAAATCAAATGAATCAGTTTCCTTTTATCAAAGAGTTAAAGCATTTTCAATTTAATAGATTTTAATCAGCATACATTAAACATTACTTCAAAAAAATGGGTATGCAAACTAGTATCGAAATAGATCAATGAAATTTATTGAAACTGACAGATTGGAATAAATTTCATTTCATTATAGTCTGATATATTCTGAATAGTCTCACACTTAAATCAACTAATTCAATGTAACAGATAAACGTCACTAATGTGAACTAGTCGCACAATCAGACACAGTTTGCGGAAAATTTACCACAACTGTGGGAAAATTTTTACTATTATTACAAAATAATCCCCTCTTCAAAGAAAGTTTGTCTTTTTCAAATTACCGTGGGAAAAAAATATATTATGGGTAAAGACAAATATTAAATATTAACAGGGTGCGTAGTCAAATCTTTCAATAAAAAATAAGCACCTTTTAATACTTTTTAAGCCCTCAAAAAATATTTTTAAGCTACATACATTAACAAAATGAAAAATAATTCTCAAAGACTTTACATGATCATGACAAAATAACCAGTTTCTGACAAAGAACTCTTTTCTTGAATATATTAGCCATTATAAATGCAGCAGGTGCAAATGCAAAATGCAGCAGAGTTGCACTTGAGAGTGCAATAATCTCACCGAATCTCTTTGCGGATTTGCAAGTATTTCATCTAACATGTACAATGATTGGCACTTTCATATGCTATGGACCAACGGGACGCCGAACTAGATTGTGGGTGAAAAAATTGTGAAAATGTTGAATAGAACAATGTGAAAATCACGCTTTTGAATAATAGGTGGCGAAAGTCGACTGGGTAAAAAAAATTCATTTTTAAAAGAGAAATTAAGCACTTTTTAAAAACACCCAATGAAAAAAAGCACCTTTCAGAGATTTTAGAAAATAAAATAGAAAATAAGCACCCTTAAAAAACACTATGTGCCATGATTAGTCTTTGTGCATTTTCCTATCAATGAAAACATGATTTAAAATTAGATTCATATGACTTAAAACCACACATCGCAATTCATATTTTACGCAATTTGAGATTGAGAATTATTTCTTTTTTTTTTTTTACCAATTTTATATCAAAAGTCTCGTTTTGTATTCAAGCAATTTAAGAGCAACTGTTATGATTCATGTTCAAGCTATTTTTAAATGAAACATTGAGATTCATATTCAAGCGATTTTAAAATTAAAGGTTGTAACATTTTGTATTGTGATGTCAGAAGAAATTTTTTTCAGGCTTTTGCACCAATTTATTTGTATTATATATTAATTACACTTTAATTACCTTTATGTAAAGTCAATTTATAAAATTAAACGTAATTATTAATATTAAAATAAGCTTTTTAAAAATAAGGTACTTATCCCTGCCCTCTCTTATGAAAAAAAAAAAAAACAATAAAACATGAAAAACCCAAAAAAGCCCAATAAAACACATAAGGGTTGAGCTTTCCTGGAAAAACAATAGTATATTTTGCAACCCTGTTTGAACTAAGTGCTAGCATCACAATCAAAATAAAATTAGGAAAAGAAATATAAAACATACCTCAAGCTTAAAAGCTAGCGTGTACGAACGCCGTCTACGCTTGCTACTAAACGAGAATGAAGAGAAAGAGTCTTCTCGATCAGACGCGCTGGGCGAAGCATCCAAATTGCGACTGCTCTCGATCAGGTCCTGAACTTTGGTGAATTTCTTGCCTCGCATTGTTATCATTTGCTGTTCCTCTCTGTCCACTTGGAAAAGACTCGTCTCTAAGATCAGACACGTGTTCTCCGTCAAGGGCTGAAAAACAAACTCTTTATTGAAATTGTAATAACACAGTTAGTTTCCTCACATTCTCGCAAAACATTCCAATTATGTTACATGAGAACGCACTCCACACATGTGTTCTCTAAGGCTGGAAAACATATTCTTCAATTCAAATCTTTATTCATCAGAAAATTTGCAGTTTTTTTTATATAAGGAAATTATGAAATGAAACACACATCTTTAGACATGAATTATAGTACAGTGAAATCTCGCTACTATGATATCCAATACAACAATAAAGCCCTTTATTACGATAATGTTTTGTGGTCCCGACGAACTTGCATAAAAATTAATGTCATGCTCCTCTCAATATAACAATATTCTCTGAAGCAAACAGATCCCTGTAAACCAATTTTTTTTCCAAATTTCAACCTCATTTTATCCCTTTATTATTGGTTTTCAAATAATGTAGAAAATCTTAATTTATCATCTTTTCTGACAAGAGAAGACTCACTACAGACCACCCTAAGAGCTTCCATTCTTAGAATTGCCTCCCTTATCTTTTAAGAATTCACAGATGAAACATTCCTATCTGATTTCATTTCTTTATGCTAAGAGCTGATCATGAGTCATAAATGACCACAAGCATCACCTGAGATCCGTAGAGGGTGGGTGAAGCACCATTCACAAACGAATTTCCTGCTTTGGACTCAATGTTTTGGGTATTACCAAAAGATATCAAAAAAGGAGAAAGCTTACCTCCATCAAAAGGCCGGGAACACTTCGTAATAATCCATAGACTTCTATAAATGATCTAAATAATTGCAGTTGAGACATTCAATATTAAATTTTATTCACGACCATATGGACACAAAATATTTACGGACACACACAACAAAAAAGAACATGCTTCGCAATCGTAGTTCTAAACAGATCTCTCTCGAACCAGAGTGTCAGTGTGTGTGGGAGGAGTCGGGTTAGCCTTGAGCACGTCATGCGCTCACTAGATGAAATTAAGTGATAGATTAATGAATTTAATTGGAATTTCCAACACAATGCATACTTTGTTGGTTGACAGTCAAAAAAATGGAGGGGAAAAAAATCAGATTATTTTCAATAAAAACAGTTTTTGGGTATGCCTAGGATCTTATTTTCTGAACTTATTTCATTTGATTTTAATATTCAACCATAATTAACACTCTGCAAATTGATTTTTAGCATAATATATAAATACACTTATAGTTAATACATATATAACATTAAAATTTTAAAAAAAGATCTTGTTTCCCCAAAGTATGTAAGTCCTCGATATAACAATATATTTATTGGGTCCCAAAATATTGTTGAAGCGAGGTTTTACTGTACTAAGCTTAGGATAACTAATATTTCAATAACAAATGGTCAAAGTGAAATGAAGGGAAATAATTTTTACAGATTTTAAATCCAGTAGAGATGTTTCATTTCTTAAAAATAAATGTACTAAGTCCTTTGAATATGCTTAAAATGCAACCAAATTAATAGTGCGACCATCACTGTTTCTGACATTAAAACCAAACCTTATATTATCTTCTTCGATTTAGATTTGATATTAAAAGCTTTTTCTGAAATGTTTGTTGTTTTTTAAGTAGTAGCACATGGGATAGGTACTAAGTCAGTTGCACAACTTTCAAAAGGGATAAAAAAAATAAAAAAAAAGAAGCATATTAATAACTTAGAAACAGCGAAAATTTATAAACAGAAAAGCTTAATATTTAACACTTTCTTTTTATTACCCTTTTAAAGTTCTCTAAAAATGATTACTTTTCCTTTCAACTTATACAATGCTTTCTTTTCCAAGTGAAGTGTAAAAAGAAAGACAAAATATATATATAAGAGTAAGAAAATAATTCAAACAAAAATACAACCAAAAAAATAAAATTGCATATGACATCACTTTCAAAATTTTAACTCTAGCACTATGGGTTTTTAAAATGGAATCCATGACTAAGTTTACGGCCAGCAACGTCGTGAATTATGTGCAAGAGCACTGGTACACATTTAAAAATTGGCTAATCAACGTCCATTTGGATATTCTTTTTTTGTTAATTTGCTATTTTTTGGACAGTGTATTGAAATAATATTCCGACATATATTTCATTTAATTTACTTTCACCTATAAGTTTTTCTATTTCTAATTTATTAGCAATGGGTCTCTGCTTTTCATTTGAATAAGACCTTGTTCATTTCCTTTTAAACTTTATTTTTAACTTATTTAACTGAGAACTTCTAACAATCATTTCTGATCTATAATTATTACTACCCACTTTTAGCAAATAATTATCTTTTTTAAATTCAAAATTAATCTGCCAACCCAAACCACAGAGAGTTAACGAATGGATATTTGGCAACAATAGAATACACCAACTTTCAAGGTTCATTTTCAAGCAACTTTTAAACATTTTTCCAAGCTTCAAAAATAATTTTCTATGTTATGTTAGAATTCAGAGTACTTTTCTCTGCTTTTGCTTCCATTCAAAAGTGAAGTAGAAGGCCGATTTGTCATATTTTAGTTAATTCATATTTAAATAAATAAAATTAGATATTATTTCTCAATTAGTACTACTATTACTAATAACGGCATCTTCACCACAAATCTATTACAATTGATAACTGTATTTTTTCTTAAGGATTAGTTTCAGAAACAGGTACGAATAATTTACTATCACTTTGCAGAATACAAAGTTCAATATATTACATTTTTGCAATTTCAGAATTGTTAATTAAGTCTTAGGTTGAAAACTAGACAACAACAAAAAATCAAAATTTGTGGATGCATAGATAAATGATACATTTGAGTGATAATTTGTAAAATCTTCGCATTTAGAGAAGTCTAATTGTTATCGAATTGTGCAATACAAATTAGAGATACCTTAATTTTTACAAAACTAACGAACTCTTTCATAAACTTATGATCATAGCAAGATCATTAAACACTGGTTTCAGCACAAAAGAAACAAGTGTGCTTTATTTTTTGTCATTAAAAAGTTTTAAGCATAGGCATAATATTTGTAAAAATATTAGAAGGTTCTGCCATTTTATATTCACAAAAGAATCATTTTTTTCGTTAAGTGTTACTTTTAATTTTTTTCCAAGGTAATTCTTATCAAATTATATTTTTTTAGAAATTATTTTAACAAAAACAAAAAATATAGATATGTAAATTCTGTGGATAATTTGAAAATGCACTGTGAGATTTCATAAAATTAAAACACTTTTTCCTTAAAAGTAGACTTTAAAAAAAAAGGAAAAGCTTTCTTATCAATTTAAAATATTTGAAAAAGAATCTTAAGAGGACAAAATATCGAGAGATAGAGTTTTAGACAAACGAAGTATTATACAGGGTGATCAGCCAAATCTTTCAACAAAAAATAAGCATCTTTTAAGTACTCTTTAAGCACTCTAAAAATATTTTTAAACACTGTATACTTTAACAAAATGCAAAATAATTCTTAAACACTTTACATGATCATGATAAAATAACCAGTTTCTGACCAAGAATTCTTTTCTTGATTAAATTAGCCATTATAAAAAGATCAAGAGATTTTTCCATTTGATAACAGAGGGTGGAAAATGAAATCTAAAATTAAAAATATGTTATAAAATGCAGCAGAGTTGCACATGAGAGTGTAAGAATATCATCAAACCCAGCTCAACTCGTTTTGAAAAGGAAAAATTATGCACTTTTTAAAAACGTTTCGCATCCTGTTATACAACAAAACACTGCCTTTTGACTGTTTCAGAGGACAGTGAAATAGAGTCTCAAGCAGACCAAATTTTGAGGAGCAGAATCTTAAATAGAATAGTCAAAGCATTGTGCAATGACAATGCAATAAATGAAAAAAAAAATTCTTACACAGAACCTAAGGTGAGAAAAATATTATATGACAGTACACCATATGGAAATAGACATCATACGAGAATCACTGAATAAAATCCCAAGCAAGCAAAGTTTAGATAGAAAATCAGGCAAAAAAAAAAAAAAAAATTGGAAAACGTGAAATAAAATCTCAATAAAACCAAGTCTCCAAAGGGATTCCAAACATGAAAAACATTTTTAAAAAATAAATAGAGGTTTACCCGGGGGTGTTTACAATTTATATCCTTGAGTTGGTTCCATTTTATAATATTTTATTTTTTTAGTTTATTGCAAGCCAATGCCCAGAAGTCACCAAAACTTGGTGTATATTTTGGTGCAAATACTGATACAGATATTGTCTCATTGAATTTGCAATAAAATTTCTTACAAGCAAAATTGCTTCTTAAAACCAGAGTATTGAAAAATATTATTAGAATTTAGAAAAATTATATATACCTGAGGAGTGCTTTCAACAACACTACGAAAACAAACTTTAAACTTTTGACACCAATCAGTCAACCAGGCAGTACTTATTGTAGATTTAGTTGAAGAACTGGCAAGCTGTGCTTGTTCTGCACGAACAATCAGATCACGAACAGTAACTTGATAATTCTCCTCCAGTAACTTTTTCAGAGTCACGTACAAATCACACTCCCACTCTTCAACTTTATTAGAGTTCACAACCTCCGCAATGAATTCTTTTGCTTGGCACCAAATGGCAACACGTTTCTCGCAAACGTGGAACTCTTTTGCGGCATCTTTTTCGCCCTTTTCTTCGGCGTAAAGAACAACTCTGTGCTTAAAAAAAGATGGGAATACTATTTCTGGTCTACGAAGGGCATCTGGTTCAAACTTATCTGAGATATCAGAGTCATAATTATACAACATGTCCAAATCTTGAGAAACTTGTTGAGACTTCTCATCTCCTATTTCTTTAATCTCATCCATGTCTTCATCCAAATGATCAGGTGAACCTGCAGCTGACATGTCTTCCATTCTATCGTCATACGATGCATCGAAACTTCCATCGGCGGACGGTTGTCCACCCTTTTTAACTTTATGAACAATATTATCTTTTGTTTTACACCACATACTGACTTTCTCAACACATATGTTGTATTTTTTAGCAGCCGAACTTTTGCCATACCTTTCAGCATGTTCAACAACCTCTAAACGAAAAGTCGCAGGATAGGTTACATATTTCCTCCGTCTTTTAGGTCGATCTCTACGATCGCTACCCCCGTCGTTCACGCTACGCCGATCGCTTTCTGTCCCGCTGAGGTTCCGACTATGATTTAAACTAATACTTTCCCGTAACCTACTATCAAAGGGGTTGGAATTGTATATTCTTTCAGATAAAAGAGTTTCTAATGGACTGCTCACATTTGAATTTTCTCTAAAACTATCGGCTATGGAGGGTTCTGCTTTGTAATTATTCAAATCAAATTTGTTATTGCTAGACATTCCATCTCTATTAAGAGGAAAATGGGCAGCCCAAAACTGATTTTCAATTGAGTTGTGATTTTCCTTTTTGATTTCTTGAAGATGGTCATTAGGTTTTTCTTTCGTCCACAGAGAAACTCTGGAGTTCTTTTCGGAAAGGGCAGCTGAGTGTTTTGGAGCACATTCTATATTTTCTGTTTCTTCTCCTTCATGGTAATAATCCATATTATCTTCATCCTCATCTTCAGAGGGCTGTATGTACTTTTGAGGCTTGGTTGATTTTCTTTTACCCATGATGAGCCTGAAAAAAAAAAGATATTAATTATCAAGGTTAGGAGGAAAAAACCTAATATCTTTAGAGCAGAGATATCTTAGAGATCTACCTAATATCTTAGAGATGAAAAAACCACCCTTGAATAAATAGGCTACTGCCATTCCAAGAGCAGGTAATATGAATGCCAGCTCCCCTGTGGCAGAATAATGGCGACATTATTGCAGAACGTTAGAGTTCTTGCAAAAAAAAATTTACTTTGGGAAGTAAAATATTTTCCTTTTCTTTTCTGCAGAAATTTTTGAAAGATTTCATATTTTTTCAAATTATATTCAAAAGATGCCTTTCTCGTGCATGGGAGTGGGAAAAAATACTAAGGACTTTTCCATTCTCATTTGAGAATAATGAAAAATAACGTATAATGATGTAAAAAATTTGGTTTTCTTTTCAGTAAAGATTTTCCTTCTCCTTTTTTATGCAGTAATTACTACTGATTTCTACATAACTTTTAAAATCTGATATTTTTAATACAATATTATTTATCACAACAACTACATCTTGAAATGAAAACACACATTTAGTAATCCATTTTGAAGAGTCGGATTCATGTGATTCCACCGTCAATCTCTTTTTTCAGTAGTTACTGCTACAGCTGTCACGGTTTTTTGATTTTTTTAATGTGATGAGGAATTACAAAATGCGTAAAAGGAAATAAATAGTAAGTTATCTTCCTACAAAATGTGGGAATATCGCCCATAATATTAGAATTTTTAAAAAAATTACATATTCAATTAAAAAAATTATTTAATTTGATCCGATTAATTTATTTATATATTTATTGAAGTTAACGCGTCTTTTACTTTAAATTAGTAACATATACATTTGTTATTTTTAAGTATCTTGCTATAAGATATTAGTGTTGGAGACGTATGTTGCAGAAATTCCGAAAAAATTCTGTCACAGGGGCCAGCTAAGAGCTCAATCTAGAGTTTCAGATCAGCAGTAATAATTATATTGCGATTCTAGAAAAATGATAAATTTTCAGCAAAAATTTTATTTTCTGATGCATATTTAGCATGAGTTCTTACACAGTGTGCATAGCCAAATCTTTCAGCAAAAAAATAATCAACTTTTAAGTACTTTTTAAACACTCAAAAAATATTTTTAAGGACTAACAAATGTAAAATAATTTTCAAAGACTTTACATGATCATGATAAAATAACTAATTTTTGACAAAGAACTCTTTTCTTGATTATATTAGTCATTGGCGATAGAAATGGGGTACAGGGGGCATAGAGCAGAACTCTCTACCTATGGCAACACTACACATGCTTTTACCACTTGCGTGTGGAGAGTCAGAAAAGAAGGGAGTACGTTAGTTTAAATCTTTTAATTTAGGAAATTAAATGGACTTGAAAACTACATTAAACATGTTACTAAAAAAAAGCGTCATGGAAATTTAAAAAAAATATTTTTTTAAATTAAATAAGAAAAATACTAAGAAACGGAAAAATATTGTAGTACATTCCTATACAACTGAAAAGAGGAGGAGAGGAAGGGTCAAAGACACGGAACCGTTCTTCTCCCCAGATGGCGTATTCGAGCATTGAGATCTTGAATTTTAAAATGATTCTTCAGTTCCATATCAGAGGGGGGGGGAATGAAATTGAGAATATCTTGCAAAATACAGCAGAGTAGCACATGAGAGTGCAATAATTGCACCAAACCCAGCTCAGTAGCAGTGGCGTAGCGAGGGGGGAGCAAGGGGGGGCATCATGCCCCGGGCGCTATTCACAAAGGGGCGCCAAATGGTCAGCAAAACAAAAAAAATTGTTGGATAATTTTTATTTTTATTATAATTTATTTCTGCAAAAAATATTTTAAATTTAGTGCCAGTGAAATATGATAAATGTTAATTCGTAAATAAAAAGGAACACTAATCAAACTGTAATAATATATTCATAATAGAAATGACACGTCTTTTCTAATGGCTGGCTGACTCGACCTGTATCTGTCAGCACTTCCTTATGGCATCTACGCTGTGTGGTTACATATATTATCTCCAAATATTTGCACTGTACAAAAATCGTTTGTATGTTTGTACAGTGTATAATACAGATTTCAATGGAATAGAACTCTTTATCGAAGAATGTGACTGTAAAATGTTACTCCTTTGTAGAAAAGAAATTGAACTTAAAACTCCATTAGAATTTCTTACTTTTATAATCCCGTATGGAGAAGATGTTTTTCCAAACCTGAGAGTGGCACTTCAAATACTCCTGACTATCTCAGTATCAATTGCTAACTGCGAATGGTCATTCAGCAAATTAAAATTAATTTTGACATATCTACGATCAACGGTGGGACAAGATCACCTAAGTGACCTGGCATTTTTAAGTGTGGAAAGAGAAAAATTTGAAATGATCAACTTTGATGATATTATTGATAAATTTGCTTCATCAAAAGCGGAAAATTTACACATAGTAATTAGTTTTATAATTGTATTATAATCATATTATTAAATATATGTATCTCCTTAGAGATAATAAATATTTACTTTTTTATTGTTTTAAAACTGCGTGTTTTTAAAATATTTCTTTATAAATATGTAAAATAAATAATAGGTATCTTATGAACTAATTCTAGATGATCATATACATTTCAAAGTCTAGTCTTGTTTTCTCAACTACATTTTTTGTCTCAAATTTAATGCCTAACTTGAGCCTATGACTTTATTAATTCTACTTTATTTATTTATTACTTTGCGAGTATATTTTACTTATAATATTAGATGGATTTCGAATGGGGGGGCGCTAAAAAGGTATTGTGCCCCGGGCGCGAGTTAAGCTCGCTACGGCACTGCTCAGTAGATAGTATAAATGCCGACTCACAAGTATTTCATCAGACATGACAAATGATTGGTGATTTCATACGATATGGACCAAGGGTACACCAAAATAGATTGTGGTTGAATAAATTGTGAAAATGTTGAATAGAACAATGCATAAAGCACACTTTTTCATAAACGTGGCGAAAATCGACACAGTAAAGAAAAAATCTCCATTTTGAAAAGGGAAAATTAAGCTCTTTTTAAAAACACCCAATGAAAAAAACACTGTTAAGAGCTTTTAAAAAGTGAAAACAAGCACCTTTAAGCACTTTTTCGAAACTCTATGGAACATGTTACAATTATATTTTTTGGATTGGTTTACTCTTGTTGACATTTATTGTTCACATAGCCCAAATTATTTATGAAGATTTCCAAATAAAACTGTAAGAAAAGATGTTCACTGATTAAAAGTTACTTTAGCTAAGAAATTAATATTATCATTTGAACTGAATTTCAATTAAAGTCATGGGAAAGTACAGGTACAGTATTTCTGGGGAGATTGCACTTGGCAGCAGTATTAGAAATATGATGTTTCTTATACAATAACAAATTTCAGATACATTTTTTACTAAGTATACACACACTATTTGTGAATAACAAAATAAAAATAAAATGTCAATAAAGACTTTTTTTTAAAAATAAAAGCTAGACTTACAAATTCAATCCCCCTGCCTTAGAAATCTAGTTAATTTAAAAATATTCCTTTAAAAATTACCAAGTTTCTGATTTTAAATAAATTAGCATATCAAAATAATGTTATAAATGTGTTTGTCGTAAGCTCCGTGGCATAATCGCAGCGACATGACGACATTGTTGCAGAACGTTAAGAGTTGTTGCAGAAAGATTTCTTTCTTTAGAAGTAAAAAAAAAGTACTTTTCTTTCCTACAGAAATTTACACGAAATATTTTATCCATGCATTTAGATTATTGCTTTTTGACGAGCTCAATTTACGTCAGGAAAAAAAGAAAAACTTTTTTTCCAAAAGAAAAATCTTCCTGCAAGAACTCTGTAACGTTCTGCTGCAATGTCGCCGTGATTCTGCTACAGGGGATATGCAGAAATAACCATTTGTTCATAAACATGAGTTGTTGTTTTTTTTTCAAAATTTCTATTTGTTCCAAAATTAATACAATTCTAACTGGCTCCTAAATTCGTAGTTGGCCAAAAAAAATATCAGGACAACGTAAAACTTAATATTAACTAACTTAAAACGGTACAATTTGCTCCTTTTAAGTGTAATAAAACAAATTTATTTTAAAATACACAGATATTAAAATACACTTTTAATATCTGAATTACTTTGTTTAGAACAGAAAGTTATAATAGTTTCCAGTATAATTTTATTAATATTTAACAATTCATAAAATTCTCAGTAAATTTATAGGAATTGTTTTGAGAACTGTTGGATTGAACTCTCTCATACCAATACATATTTAAAACTTGGAGCTGAATTTCCATTTCTATTAAAATTAAAGAAGTGTTTCAATAATCTTGAAATGAAAACACGGTGAATATGACACTTAACATGTTTTTAACGAAACTAATTTTAATGGATTCTTCAATTCAATCATATGATTACTGTAAAGTTGATAAGTTTTAAAATCAGAGGACAGAGACGAACCATAATTATGAAACTACATCAATAAGATTTGTTATCGCATTTGTTTTAAGTAATAAATAAGCATATGACCCCTGAAATCATCATCATAAAAATTTGATAATATAGAATTGTTAATCCGGTTTTCACAAATTAATTAGGTACAATGAAACCTGTACGTAAAACTATATACCTGAACCATGCAATTTAGTAGAAGGTTCCTAAATTGGAACTATGGGATTTCATGATTTCTATTAGCATTATTAATTAAAATGAAAAGAAATTGGGCTAAAATTCCACACTTTTTAATTCTTCAAATCATTTTGTAAAAAAATCAGTAATTATATTTTTGAGCTGCAACAACTAAGTGGTTAAGACATTTTTGAAGAGCTGCGATTTTATTCTGCCACAATCATGTCATGAAATCGTTAAACTCCACGACCCCCAAGCTAACAACGGGCTGTTGCAAGAATACTTTTTATTTGCATTTTCTGAAAATGGGATGTTCTGAACAGAATAAACACAAGGAATAACAGGGCAA